CGGCCCGGCCCGGGCCCGGCAACGGGATCGCACCCCTCGCTGTTGCTCCCGCAACTTGCTCAGCCAGTGAGCGGCCGGTCTGTATGTGGGATCCGAACCCTCGGCAGGAGCGCCGCCGCGCTTCCCAAGCGGCGCACTGTAGCAGTGACTGAATTGTCATGGGGGAGGAGGAGGGGATCCAGGGTAAAGGGACTGTTTATAAAATTTGTTTCTAATTGAGATCCGTAAATTGTGGTGGAGATCACTTCTCCTTCCTTAGCTAAGATCCCAGCTGTGTGACTGAACTAACAGGACTAATCAGGGCAAAATCCTCTCCCAGACCTGCTGACGTAGAGGACTCCACTGAATTTGTGAGTTTTTTTTCCAGACTTCGTTTGGAGTGTACGAGATTTTGTATTGGAGCTGGTGTTAGATGGACACCGCATTTCTGAAGATGAGTACCTGGAGAATGCTTTGACGCTGATTCCAGGTATTAGAATGTGATTTGGGGGTGAAAGTTTCATTAGGAGGGTGGAAGATAGATAGTAAGGTTAGCCTTACTCTTTGAAGGATTCTTCTAAAAAAAAAATTACTAAACATGTTAAAGGTGTGTATATATTTTGCTCTTATTTATAAAAAATTTTTCTATACTGACCTGGGTATCATCTATCTTCTTTCTGACATTTCCCCTATCATGGTTTTTTTTTTTCCCCCTAGAATTACTTTATTTTTGAGCTCACATTTTATTTCTGCCATGAAGATAGTAAAATCAGAAAAGTACTTCTGACCATATTTTAATTAATTAATAATTTTAAAAAATTAATAAATAGTCAATCGACCAGATACCATAAAAGGACTGAAGAAACCAACTATAAATTTTTTCACTTGGGATGGATGTCTCCCATTCCTCTCTAGAAGCACTTCCTTGAGTCTCTGCTCTGTGCAGAATTGGATTTTTTTCATGCCATGAGTAAATTAGCATGAGGTTGATTTCATGACTGCATGAAAAGATTTACAGACGCAGGAGACTTCAGTTATACAAGAATCCCCCGAAATGAAAATCCTCAGCCCCTGCCTGAAAGCTGTTCCTACTCTTTTTCTATTTCCACAGGCAAGAACCCCAAAATCCAAAGTTCCAACATGACTAGAGAGTGTATCAGACATTTCTTTCCAAACCGAAAGTGCTTTGTCTTTGACCGGCCAACAAGTGACAAAAAACTCTTAGCCCATGTGGAGAAACTGTCAGAAGATCAGCTAGATTGTAATTTCCGGTCACAATCAAAAAAATTCTGTTCATATATCTTCACCCATGCAAAGACCAAAAATTTGAGAGAGGGAATAATTGTCACTGGAAACCGTGAGTCTCTTTTCTATATTGGCATTTACTGAGCCCTGTTATATCTCAAAAAACTAATACCTTAATCATATAAGCACAAACAACTGTTAAGGAGATAACATCTGTGTCCTTAGGTAAATTCTTATGGAATGAGTGATTGATATTTTTCTTAGTCAGTCTATTCAAGATATATGGTGATTCACATAAAACAGAAAATAAATAGGTCTTGAGTCACTGCAAGCACATTGAGATTTTTGAGACACAAAATTCAATATAATCTTAACGCACAGAACTTGCGACCCATTAAGCCTGTGACCCGTGCAGCAGCGCAGTGCGCTGTGTGAAGAGCCACTCACTGAGTTTAATGCTCTGTCACTGTCTTGCAATTTTTTACCATTTTTTAAATAAGGGGACCTACATTTATATTCAAAACTAGGACCTACAAATTATGTGATTTACTCTGCCTGTCTAATAAACACTTTTTAATTTTATTTAAATGAGAAAGTATTTTTACAGGAAATCCTTGAACATATTGTTTGTCACCAGTAATTTAATTTTGCAATGTAATGAGTTGGAGAACCATAAAAGAAAGAGTGAATATGAACAACAGTGAAGGTATTATAAAGAGGTGGATTCATCATAGGTAGTAGTTGTAGTAATATTAGGAGGAGGAAGAAGAAGAAAGGAAAATTTCAAGTTAAATAGAATTTGTGTGATTTTTAGAATGCTAATCCATAACACTGGTAAAACAATAAGTGAAAATGTTATTTATTCTATGAATTTCATGTATCATTGAGGGCTGAGGACTCTGGTTGTGACCTATGTGGATGCCATCAACAGTGGATCAGTGCCTTGTTTGGAGAACGCAGTGACAACTCTGGCCCAGCGTGAGAACGCAGTGGCCGTGCAGAAGGCAGCCGACCACTACAGTGAGCAGATGGCCCAGCGCGTGAGGCTCCCCACAGACACGCTGCAGGAGCTGCTGGACGTGCACGCGGCCTGTGAGAGGGAGGCTCTTGCTGTCTTCATGGAGCTCTCCTTCAAGGATGAAAATCGGGAATTCCAGAAGAAGCTCATGGTACTTGGCTTAGTATTTTGCTTCCTGACCCCTGCCCTTCTGGAATGATGCTTAGAGCTTTTGATCTTTTTAACCCATGGCTCATCTTCTTTTCATGGTAGAAGAAGCTTGGATTCTTGTGACAGGGCTCTAATTGGCTACAGTTCACCATTTTGTATTAAAGATGGGCAATTCATTAATTTTCTATTACTGGATAACAAATTACAATGAATTTAGTACCTTTCAAACACACATTTGTAGGCTCACAGATCTGTGTGTCAGAAGCCACGTCAGGGTACCTGGGTGCTGTGCTCAGTGCACCATCAGCTGAAAATGAGGTGGTGACTGGGCTTAGTTCTCATCTGGAGGCTCTAGGGAAGCCATGAATGATGCATTAAATCTCTCTCTTGTTTCAAATCTCTCTGACTTCCTCTTCTGCCTCCAGCTGGAGACATATTTCTGCTTTTAAAGGGATCATGTGATTTTGTAATGCCTACCTGGATGACCTCCATTTCTTAAAGTCAACTTGCATCATATAACATTATCTAAACACTGGAGGAGGAGTTAATCACATTAACAGACCCAGGGACTATGGTGGATGTGGAAACGAGGTGTATAAAGTCTTGGGCAACATCTTAATTTTATTTGCCATAGGCACTTTTATTAAGGGTCCCCCTTTCAGTCTTAGTTCATATTGAGGAAACTCAGCTGCATCATACTTTACAAGTACAAGCAAAAAAAATGATGTTCCTATATCTTCACACACTCAAATCCTCTTTGAAACAACTAGTGAAGAGTTCCAAACTCTGTTCATAGTACACACAAGTCGTTACTGGGAGGACACTTTTTTAATGCACACATTTTCATCCATAGCAACCCATGTTCTTGAGGACAGTCTTCTGCCACAATTCAATTTGTCATTGCCCAGGGTTGATGATTGGATCACTGTTAACCATACTATCACTGAAGTAACCATGCAGTTTATATCTTCCAACCCCATCATTTTACAGATGAAGAGCCTGGCCTCAAAGGAGTTAAGGGACTCTCCAGGTCACAAAGAGTATTGGTCAGAAGTGGGACTAAAAAATGTCTCCTGACTCCTGGTCCTTTCCCTGACCTAGTCCTCTCTGGGGCTGTCAGGCAGCTTCTTCCAACAAGATCATGGAACCGTTCACTCTAACAACTTCTTTTATATTTTTCCATCACATTCACAGGACACCATAGAGAAAAAGAAGGAAGATTTCTCACTGCAGAATGAAGAGGCATCTGTCACATATTGCCAGGCTGAGCTTAAGCAGCTAGCAGAGCCCCTGATGGAAAGGATTTCAAGAGGAACTTTCTCTGTTCCTGGAGGGCACAATCTCTTCTTAGAAGCAAAGAAGAAGGTTGAACAGGACTATAAGCTAGTGCCCAGGAAAGGAGTTAAGGTGAGGAATCCGAGAAAGGAGGGACTGGATGGCAGAATAGAGTGACAGGGTCTGTTGCTCCTTCCAAAAATCCAAGACCACAGAACCAATTACGGAGAGAAGTCAGAGCAATGCAGTAGCTCCACTTTTAAAACGTTTATATCCACTTTTAGTTAGATACTCTTGAAGTAATCAGAAAAGTTTCTTCCCAAAATAATGGAATAGAATTGGGAATTCCATGTGAAAGAGAACCTTTCTTCCATTTATTGAACCATGTGATTGCTTATGAGTTAAATACTGTAAAGGAGATACAAAGATTGGAGACAAATACTTTGTTCTCAAGATGTTGATGATCTCGCCAGAGTACAGATAAATAAGTAGCCAATTGCATATGGCATGTTAAGGGTTCTGATACAGGGATGAACTGACAGTAAAAGTAATAATCATTATGATGAAGATAATGATAATAGCAAATAGATTTTAAAGTGTGGATTTTATTTTTATTTAGGTATGGCAAGGCTAACAGTTCAGGAGATGAGTGCCATTGAAAAGACAGTTTGGGGGCCGGCCCGGTGGTGCACTGCTACAGTGCGCCTTTTGGGAGCACGGCGGCGCTCCCGCCGAGGGTTCGGATCCCACATACAGACCAGCCACTCACTGGCTGNGTGGATTTTATTTTTATTTAGGTATGGCAAGGCTAACAGTTCAGGAGATGAGTGCCATTGAAAAGACAGTTTGTTACACTCACAGACCCCAAGTGTGGGGAGCACACCACACCCTGGGATGCTGCAATGAGAAGTAGCAGAGTCAGTCAGAAGGGAGGGGGTGCAAGGGAAAAATGCGGATAAGAGGCTTTATTTGATATCTTCAGGAAGTAACATGTAATGCAGGGTAAACAGAATGACGATCGGCTAGTTTGAATAATTTCAGTGGGCTCTGGAGCATAGGGGCTGGGCCTAGTTTTGTGATTCCTAATTCTGAGGCAATAAGGGCACGTGGATAGTGTCCCAGTGTGAGAGCCAGATAAAGGAGGTGGTTGTGGGTATAGGCTCTGGATTTCTTAGTTTGCATAGGAAGGGCAGCTCACATGCAAGTTATTCGTTATCTCTAGGTATTAGCTCGCCTTAGTAGGATCGGTCTCTTCAGGGTCCCAAATACCCTAAGATGTCATAGTATGAGAAAATGAAAGCCATGACTAAAAGAGGCTAATACAAATTGAGCATTTACTTCTTATACCAGGTACGGTCCTTGGTGGTATGTTAGATTATCAATTTAATACTCAGAATAACATAAAGTAGGTAATATTGTTATCTAGATTATACAGACGAAAATGTGATGCACAGAGAAGTTAGTAAGTTACCGAAGGCCACACAGCCAGCGAGTGGTAGAGATGACAGGATGGCTCAGACTTGACAGCTATTTTCAACTGGGAAGCCAGCTTTAGAAATTCTTCCAAGAAGAGGAAATAGGAGTACAAGATGAGCTCTCAAAAAGATGTGACCCAAATAAAGAAAGGAAAGAGGTGCATCCAGGCACAAAAAAAATTTTTTAAAAAATACTGAAAATAGGGGCCGGCCAGGTGGCGCACTGTGCTAGTGCGCCGCTTGGGAGGTGCGGCGGCACTCCCACCGAGGGTTCGGATCCCACATACGGACCGGTTCCCGCTCACTGGCTGAGCAAGGCGCGGGAGCAACGCCGAGGGTTG